CTAAACACCCTGCACTAAACAAACACCCTGCACTAAACAAACACCCTGCACTAAGCACCCTGCGCTAAACACCCTGCGCTAAGCACCCTGCGCTAAGCACCCTGCACTAAACACCCTGCACTAAACACCCTGCACTAAGCACCCTGCACTAAACACCCTGCGCTAAACACCCTGCGCTAAGCACCCTGCACTAAACACCCTACAATAAACACCCTACACTAAACACCCTGCACTAAGCACCCTGCACTAAGCACCCTGCACTAAACACCCTACACTAAGCATCCTGCAATAAGCACCCTGCACTAAGCACCCTGCACTAAACAAACACCCTGCACTAAACAAACACCCTGCAGTAAGCACCTTGCAATAACCACCCTGCACTAAGCACCCTGCACACTGTGCAAAAAACAAGCACCAGGCCACCTGCAGGAGGAGAAGGCAGCTGGCAAGGGGCCTCTGGACCAAGGAACAAGGCAGCCGTGAGTGCCCTGGATTTTCTTTCTGCCTCATATATTGAGACTTGGATGTGAAGAAGCCAGCAACTGGGAAAAACCAGTGGGCACACACACACTAAAAGCTGTGCTTTTTCATCTTCTGGGGATGTTGTCTAGAGGAACTCGGAATGGTCCACCATTTGCCAAACCACTGAAGGCTTTCCTGCAATCTAGTCTGTAATGAAAAGAGGCTGTCGCGAACCCCAGCAGTAGATGGTTCACCTTTACACCAAGAAGGCTGGGAAAGCGCCACAATCTGCAGGTGGCCCAGGCCGACCTCAGGGGGTTGGTGCTCCTGTAGGATCCAGCATCTTTCCTCTTCAAGGAACAAAAATCGCTGGGAAAGTGTTGAGGCACAAGCACAGAGTCAGGAAACTAAAGAAAAAAATGAAGCCTTTTTGAGTAATAAAAAAGAATTTAAGCCCCAACAGGCCAGACATGGTGACTCATGCCTGTAATTCCAGCAATTTGGGAGGCCAAGGCAGGCAGATCACTTTAGTCCAGGAGTTTGAGACCAGCCTGGGCAACATGGCGAAACCCCATCTCTACTAAAAATACAAAAATTAGCCAGGTGTGGTGGCGCACGCCTGTAATCCCAGCCAGGTGTGGTGGCGCACGCCTGTAATCCCAACTACTCAGGAGGCTGAGGTGGGAGGATTGTTTGAACCCAGGAGGTTGCAATGAGCTAAGATCATGCTACTACACTCCAGCCTGGATGACAGAGTGAGACCCTGTCTCAAAAAAAAAAGCAAATACTCCAACAGGGCCGGGTGTGGTGGCTCACGCCTGTAATCCCAGCACTCTGGGAGGCCGAGGCAGGTGGATCACCTGACGTTAGGAGTTCAAGACACCCTGGCCAACATGGTGAAACCACACCTCTACTAAAAATAAAATTATCCAGGGGTGTTGGTGTGTGCCTATAATCCCAGCTACTTGGGAGGCTGAAGCAGGAAAATCGCTTGAACCCAGGAGGCAGAGGTTGCAGTGAGCAAAGATGATGCCACTGCACTCCAGCCTGAGTGACAGAGCGAGACTCAGTCTCAAAAAAATAAGTAATAAAATAAATGACCCAAAAAAAGCCTGGGTCTGTAATCAGAGGACCAGGGAGAACCAGGATGCGCTTATACTCCCTGCTGTGCACCAGCCAAACCCCACGAGAGCACTGTGTCCCCGCCCAGCAAGGGCCGAGCCTGGAGCCTGGACTCATCCTTGTGAGACTGCAGAGAAGTGCCCAGTGCCTGCCCTGGCCCCAGGTGGCCTCAGAGAAAGTGAGCAGGAGCCAGGACCTTCCTTCCCTGCAGCCTACCCTGCAAGGACAACTGGAAAACATGGCTGAAAGGAATCGGAGACTGCACAAGCAAGTGGAAACGCATCCCATGCTCACAGATGGGCAGGATCAGTGTTGGTAAAGCAGCTACACTGCCCAAAGCAATCCGTAGAGTCAATGCTATTGCTATCAAACTACCAATGTCATTTTTCACAGAGTTAGAGGAAACTATTCTAAAATTCATATGGAACCAAAAAAGAGCTGAAATAGCCAAAGCAATTTTAAGTGAAAAGAACAAAGCCAGAGGCATAACGTTACCCAACTTCAAACTATACTACAAGGCCACAGTAACGCAAACAGCATGGCACTGGTAGAAAAACAGACACATAGACCAATGGAAGAGAACAGAGAGCCCAGAAATAAGGCTGCACACCTACAACCATCTGATCTTTGACAGAGCTGACAAAATCAAGCAATGGGGAAAGGACTCATGATACCAAGAATCAGGAAGATGTCAAACTGAATGAAAAAAGACAACCAATAGATACCAACCTGGAGATGACAGAAATGTTAAAAATGACTTTAAAATTTTTAAAGCAACCATCATAAAAATGCTTCGTTGGGCAATTGCAAACATGCTTGAAACAAGTGAAAAAGTCTCAGCAAAGAAATAGAAAGTTTCAACAAAGAAATAGAAAATGAAAAGAAAAAGCTAATGGAAATTTTAGAGCTGATTTTTTTAAAAACTCAACGAATGGGCTTAAAAGCAGAATGGAGAGGGCAGAGGAAAGAATTGATAAAATGGAGACAGAGCAATAGAAATTACACAGTTTGGACAACAAAGAGAAAATAGACAAAAAACGAACAGAGACTGAGAAGCTTGTGGGACTATAACAAAAGATCTAATATCCATGTCATCAAAATCCTGGAAAGAGAAGAGAAGGAGGGTGGGGCATAAAAAGTACTCAAAGAAATAATGACTGAAAACTTCCGAATTATGGCAAGACTCATAAAGCTACAGATTTACAAAGGTGAGAAAACCCCAAACGTGATCAATGCAAAGAAATCCACACCAGGACATGTCATAGTCAAACCTCTGAATACTAACCCTCCCCTCTCCAAAACAATAAAAGTAAAAAACAAGAAGAGAGAGAAACAGCAGCTTACATATATACATATGGGGGGAAACAGCTCAAATGATCAGATTTCTCATCAGTAATTGTAGAGGAAGTGCATAGCATTTTTTTAAGTGCTGAAAGAACTTTCAACCCAGAAACCTATTTCCAGAAAACATATCCTTCAGAAATTAAGGAAACAGGCTGGACGCAGTGGCTCAGGCCTGTAATCCCAACACTTTGGGAGGCCAAGGCAGATGGATCACCTGAGGTCAGGAATTTGAGACCAACCTGGCCAAGATGGTGAAACCCCATCTCTACTAAAAATACAAAAAATTAGCTGGGCATGGTGGTGGGTGCCTGTAATAATCCCAGCTACTTGGAGGCTGAGGCAGGAGAATCACTGGAACCTGGGAGGCAGAGGCTGCAGTGAGCCCAGATAGAGCCATTGCACTCCAGCCAGGGCAACAAGAGTGAGACCCTGTCTCTTAAAAAAATAAAGGAGGAAGAAGGAAGAAAGAAGAGAAGGGAGGAAGAAGAGCAAGAAGAAGGAAAAAGGAGAAGGAAGGAGGAGGAGGAGAAGAAGAAAGGAAGAAGATTGACAGAGTAATGTTTAGAAACATGACCTAACCACGTACTGTCTACCAGAAACTCACTTCAAATAAAACGGTGTAAGTAGGTTTCAAGTTAAAAGAGTTAGAAAAGATACATTATGAAAATGATAAAAAGAAAGCAGAAGTGACTGCATTAATATCGGGTAAAGTGTACTTCAGAGCAAAGAAAATTGCCAGAGACAAAGAGGGACATTCTGTAACAATAAAGGGTCAATCCACCAAGAAGACATAGCAATCCTAAACGTATATGCGCCACATAACAGAGCTGCAGAATATGTGAAGCAAAACTGATGGGATTAATGGAGAAACAGATGAATCCACAATTATGGTTAGAGATTTCAGTTTCCCTCTCTCAACACTTGATAGAACAGTCAGACTGTAAACCAGTAAAAATATGAAGGAACTGAACACCACCAGCAATCAACAGGGTTGGGTCAACGTTTAAAGGACACTCCACCCAACAAGAGCAGAATCCACATTCTTCTTTGCTGCCCACTGACTCTGCACCAAGCTAGACCAAATCCTGGGCCATAACGCAAACCTCAACACCTTTAACAGAATTTAAGTCATACAAATATGTTATCTGACCACAGTAACAAAAATAAAAGGGAAATTTTCCAAACACTTGGAAACGAAACAACACATTCTAAATACTCTATGTGTCAAAGAAGAAGTTTCAAGGAAATTTTAAAAACATATAGAACGGAGTGAAAATGAAAATGCAACAGATGGTGTACCAAGATTTTTGTGCCAATGGCGATGTGCTGGCTAAGATATTGGACTATAGTTTCAAGCTGCCACTGTTGAGGAAACTGGGTACAAAGTACATGAGCTCTCTCTATATTATTTCTTAAAACTATATCAATCGACAGTTACCGCAAAATAAAATGTTAATTTTTTAAAAGTGTAGCAAGTGCTCAAAATGGGTAATTTCCTACTTATCTGACTCTAGTTGGCTGTTACTGTTCTCATGGGGCTGTCTGTGTCCGCTGTGCCTGGATGGTGGGAACTTTATAAAGGGGAGCTTCCTCTTCCCAGCTCCACACTCAAGGGCACTGTGTTGGTAGCTGGAAGTCAGCCACGTGGGAGTACTTACACCAGGGAAAGCAGCCAACACTACAAATGTCTTGTTCTGTTGACTCTGGACTTAACTGAAGTGATGGAGAGCACGTGGATAATGTGATTAAACTTAAAAGTGTGTCATGTCTGCAGACACTCCATTGCGGATAGCCCAAAAGATGGAGGACATGGTCTTCCAATATCCACCACGATCATCTGATTCAGCAAAGACGTCGCTCAGAGCAGTGCCCTGAATTCCAGCATGGGTCTGTCCTGTTTCACTTCCATCTCATTTACTGAAATGAATGAAAGCATCAACCAACACTCATGTCAGAAGCACCTGTGTATTGCGGTGGACTGCAGATGAATGTCAGTAAAAATCAACGAAAGCCTTCAGTGAGAATCGACGGGCTCTGTGGATCTTACAAAAAGTGCATGAAACGGTGCGCTGTGCGTCCTTTCCGTCCGCAACGTGCCGAATGAACTCAGTTTGCACACAGGTGGTGCGGTCGCTTGGAGAGCCGGTTGTTAGCCGTGTAGCAGCACAGCACCGGGTGGGGGGCTCCCGGGAGCGGGGACCGTGAGATGGGAACTGTGCCGGCCAGTTCTCCTCAGACCCTCGAGCTGCTGCCTTCGTGAGGAGAGCGGAAGGCGGGAAAGTCCAGTTGAGGCTTCCAACCCTCAGGTGTTTTAAAACATGGACAGAACCACGGGGGAGAGTTCGACCGGCAGGTTCCTGGACCATGACCTGGAGGCAGATGTGGGGGTCCAGGGTGGGGCCCGACAGATGCTGAGGAGGGTTCCTGAGGAGAGGCCCTCTGTGGGGGCAGTGCCTGGGTGCCCCTCAGGGTGCCTGACGTGGGCAGGTCTGCTGGGCACAGTGGCCCACAGCCCTGCGGTCAACACCACTGTTCTCTCCCCACCCGCACAGGCCTCTGTGTACTGTGTGGCCGCTGTCCTGTGGACTGCAGCCAAGTTCAGTGTCCCCCGCAACCACAAGCTGGCCCTGCCACGCAGGCTCAAGACCCTCCTCCTGGACATGGCCAGGCGCAGCGCCCCAGAGCGGCCGTCCGCGGCCGAGGCCATCAAGGTAACCACACCGCTGTCATAGTCCCAGCCCAGGGTCTAAGGACTGTGGGCAGTGGCCACCCTCAGTGAGCTGGAGGTGGAGGAGCACAGGCTGCCAGTGTGCACGTGATGAGGCCACCAGCTCTGCTTCCAGGTCCTTGTTTCTAGACATCAGCCCAGCCATCGCATGGGGAAGGGAGTGGGTTTTGCGTCATGGCCACATCCATGTGGGCGGACAGCATGGGGGTCTCTGCTGCTCCCCACCACGGCCATCCCTCCTGCGGAGCCTGCTCTCTCCAACTTGTCCAAAAGGCCAAGGCAGGGGCAAGGAGTGTCCTGTGGCCACGTACAGACCCCTGCTCTTAGGTCCTGCTGGAGGGGAGCAGAGAGAGGCCTCCACACCCCACCCCCCACCCTGAACCCCCACCTCCTCTGAGGATCCCACCAGCCCCGCCCCTCCCTGCCTGATCTCCCTGCTGGACTCAGGCTTTGGGGCTGGGTTCTAACACACTCCTGCTGGGACCTGCGCCCGCACCCAGCAGGCGGAGCTGAGCCGTGTGTGGGTGATGAGGAGGACCTCCTGGGGAGGAGCCAAACCCTGATGTGTGATCAGGAGGACCTCCTGGGGAGGAGCCAAACCCTGATGTGTGGGTGATCAGGAGGACCTCCTGGGGAGGAGCCGTGTCTGGAGGAGCGGAGACGGCCATGGAGTTGGGGACCTGGGCCCAGCAGTCTCCGCTTCAACTGCTCTGTGGCCTTGGGCGGGTCACTCAGACCCTCTGGGCCTCTCAGGCCTCCTCTGCCATGGGAGGATGAGATCTAGAAACGGCTGGATGTCCGCTAAGCAGTGAAAGCAGATTTTATTCGGTAACTACCGAGAGCCAAGGAAGCTGAGCTCAGTTCCCACATGCACAAGGCCTGGGCTTATAAAGGGAGAACAGGAGTGGCCGGGCGCAGGGGGTGCGGGGCTCAGGTGAACGTGACCAAGGGCTGCCAGTGTCCAGGCGCCGAGGCCACCAGGTCTGTGGTCAACGTTGGGTTTGGGATTCTGCCTCGCAGAGAGCCTGGCGGACAGTGGCCGACTGTGAGCCCTTTTCAGGAAATGCTCTAAGAAAGGCTCGTCCCGGGCCTGTTGTCAGGTGTCGATGAGAACAAACAGGAAACCCTCCTGGCAGCCCTGAGCTTTTTCAGATGGGGACCCAGCGACATGGGGACGGTCGCAGCCATAGCTGAGGCCTGTCGGGACGTGTGAACCGTCTCCTCCCCCCAGGTGTGCGGCAGCTACCTCCTGCAGCGAGGCATGGACAGCCGGAAAATCCTCGCCCACCTCAGGGCTTCCACCTGCCAGGTGGGGCGGGGCTAGAACAGCTGGGCCGCCTCCTCCCCCGCTGCTCTTAGCTTCCTGCCACCCGCATGCGCTTGCCCCTGCCTGGCCGCCTCCGGCAGCCCCACCCCCGGGTCTCTGCTGACCACCGAGCTGTGGGTGGGTGCGTCTGGGGGTGCGGGGGACACTTGGGTCCTATCTCCTGAAGGCCCCACAGTGGCCCCAGGGAACCAGATCAGGATCGGGGCAGGATCCCAAGGATGGCCGCCCAGCACCCACCCCAGGGCCCTGAGTCTCACATGGTGCCAGCGTCTCCCCCTCCCCGGAACCCACGGAAACCTGGTTGGATTGGGAGGCAAAGGAGCCCCAAAGGCTCCCTCTCCAGGCAGAGCTCAGGCCGTGCGGCCGCCACACCCAGCTCCTCCCCATCGGGAAGCGCCACCGCACCAGTGGGCGGGTGGTGGGCGCCCTGTGGGTGTTGCTGGTGCTGGCGGAGCTCCGTGGTCACCTGGCCCAGGGCTGTCGCCTCCTCCCCAGGTATACCAGGAGGAAGAGACCATCAGCCTCCAAAACGCCTTCTCAGTGGTTGAACTGAAGCCAAGTGTGGCACCAGCCCCAGAGCCCAGCCCAGGTGGGGCCCCGACCAGCCCCTGCACCCCACACCACAGCTGCCCCCACCTTTGCATGGACAGACACAGCCGGCACCTCCCGGAAACCCGGGCAGCAAGTCTAGAGCTCGGCCAGCGTGGCCAATGCAGCCCAGCCTGCCTGCCCCTGCCAGCCCCTATCTCTCCCAAAACTCCCGGTCCCTCAGGCCCCAGTTTCAGGTTCTCACTCCCATCTCCCAGCAGCTGGCCCTCCCAAGCCCACATCTGGAGACCCTCCCAGAGTCCACACAGAGCCCACGCACCCCTGTACTGAGCCCTCCTCAGCAGGCCCCTCCAAGCCCTTCTGGTGGGGCCTCGTCTTTCTGGCCTGTCCCCGCCTCCTGGCCCTCCCCCAGCACCAGCCACACCCACCCTCCCGTTCCGGGGCCAGGCCGGGCACAGAGGAAGCCCGCTGGGGACATGTGGGAGGGGACGTGGCAGCCGCACACCGGGTGGGATGACCCGGTGGTGTGGCACGTGCTGGGGCCACTCCGCCCGCCCGCACCCTCAGCCCCCTGGGTCCCCAGGCTTCCTGCCGGTGAACAGCGACACCAGGCTTGTGGCTGTGCCAGGGCCGGTGCCCAGCCAGCGCCCCTGCTGTGAAGAAGCCACCCAGCTGCCTGCAGCGTTCACCTCCGAGGCCACACACTTCAAGCCCATCGTCCTCGCGCAGGACGCAGTTATGGCCAGGTGAGCTTCGTCCCCACAGCCGGGAGCTGCTGGGTCCCGGGCACGGGCAGCCCCTCCTGAGCTCCGCTCCTCCCGTAGGGACCAGCCTGCCTTGGCCCAGGAGGAGTCCCAGGAGAGGGGCAGCCAGAGGGAGGGAGACGGTGAGAAGCTCTCCCCAGAGGCCCTCGCCGGGTCCCCCAGCCTGAAGACGCCTGACGGGCCGGTGCCTGGTCCGGGGTCACAGGGAGCAGCCCCAGAGCCTCCTGGGGAGTCAGCGCAGCGTAACCCAGCCCAGGGCTGCCCCTGCCCTCCACCCCGGGCCCCAGCAAACCAGCCAGAGGAGGCCTCATCGGCAGCTCCCAGCTCTCCAGTCCCCGCCCCGCCCATGAAGGCATCTGCGCTGCCTGAAAGGCCAGGGCCATCTGGGCAGGCCCCCCCTGGAGTCACTTCCGGGGGTCTCAGGCCCGACACCCTGGGGCCCA